GTATTAATTATGTCTATATATATATATATATATATATATATTACACACGATGCACTAAAGGGTTGATCGTGGGGTGTGCTCAGATGTTTAGGCCACTGATTGGTGCTCAGTACGTATATGTCTATGCGATCATGTATACACCTGTGTGGATTAAAAACATACACATGACCATGCACATAAATGTGTGTATCACATAGCATACACATGATCATGTATATGCCTGGGTGTATCATTTATCGTACACATGATCATGTATATTTTGCTCTGTATCATATAACATACACATGATCATGTATATACCTTTGTGCATCATATAGCGTACACATGATCATGTAAAGACCTCTGTATATTATATATCATACACATGATCATATGTTTCTCTCTCTGTATCAGATAACATACACATGATCATGTATTCATCTCTTTATATTATATAACATACCTATGATCATGTATGTTTCTCTGTATACTATATAACATACACATGGTCATGTATATTATGTATATACCTGTTTGTGTCATTTAACATAGACATAATCATGTATATACCTGTATGTGTCATATAACATACACATGATAATATATATACCTGTGTGCATCATGTAACGATGCACATTGTCATGTATATTTGTATATCATATAACCTACACATGATTATGTATATACCTGTATTTGTCATATAACATATACATAATTATGTATATACCTGTATGCATCATATAACATACACATGATCATGTATATGTATCATTAACATTCACATGATCATGTATGTATCTTTGTATTTCTTATTACATCCACATGATCATGTATATACCTGCTTGTGTCATATAACATACACATGATCATGTATATGTATCATATAACATACAAATGTTTATATATTTAGCTGTGTGTCATATATCATACACTTGATTATATGTATATACTTGTTTTTGTCATTTAATATAGATATGATCATGTATATACCTGTGTGTGTCATATAACATGTACATGATCATGTATATACCATTGTATTCCATATTACATACACATAATTATGTGTATGTATCATTTACATTCACATGATCATGTATATACCTTTGTATTCCATATTACATACATACACATGGTCATGTATAGGTATCATATAACATACAAATGTTTATATATTTAGCTGTGTGTCATATATCATACACTTGATTATATGTATATACTTGTTTTTGTCATTTAATATAGATATGATTATGTATATACCTGTGTGTGTCTTATAACATGTACATGATCATGCATATACCTGTGTATCATATACCATACACATGATTCATGTATATGTATTATATATCATACACATGATTCAAGTATATACCTTTGTGAACACATGATCTGTATATACCTGCGTATGCCATTTAACGTACACATGATCATCTATATGTATCATAAGGCATACACATGGTCATGTATATACCTGTGTTTGTCATTTAGCATACACATGATCATGTATATATTTGTGTGTATCATATAGCATACACATGATAATATATATATACGTGTGTGAACATACACATGATCATGTATATACTTGTATGTTTTATATAGCCTACACATGATCATGTATGTACCTGTATGCCCCTTACAACATACACATGATAATGTATATACCAGTGTGTGTATCATATATATATACTTGATCATCTGTACACCTGAGTGAACATACACAAGTAAATAGCATGATATTTACTTGTGTGTGTCGTATAATATGCACATGATCGTGTATATACCGAAGAAGAGGCGTATGATTAAGCGCATGATTTTATAAGATCAAATATACTCATAACCCTGAATTAGTATGAAATAGAACCAATGAAAACATGGCTGAGTGGACACTTGTCTCTTTGTGAGAAATGTTGCAATGATTTCACGCAGAATTGCAAACTTTCTCAATTGGCATATCGTTCTTATAGCAAGATTGCATACCTATAGGTGGAACAGGCCTCAAAATATAGCAACATATACGATACTGTGTTCAAGAGAGTGCATTAGTCCATATTCACCTATACATTGTATGACTTTCCATTTTCGTTGTACTATTACACCAGAAGTGCTGTTGTATTATTCAGTAGTGCTCGTAGTAGAGTCTCAGCTTCCTATTTCAGGGGGTATCTCGGCAAGCACTTTTTACTTTGAATTTGAGGATGTAGCATTCAGCCATATCTTCATACTCGATACACCAGGTTTTTTATGATTCCAAGCCGAGCTTTGCATAGATGTTGTGTTGCATTCATATCCGTTGCAAAGCTGACCACAGACAGTATTATAGGTCCTAGAATTTTATGTCAACATTTTATCATCGATGTTACTTCAAATTAACTGCAAGTCCTGGTAGTCAGGTATCAAAGAGTTTGTCCCGACTTGTGTTTGAGCCAACCTGACTTGCGATGGCGCTCTAGTGGTTGCAATATTAACATAGCCGCCACTCGCAATCTTGGATACGATTTGAGGACTCGTCACATCATACAGTGTATGTTACCAATATCACTACAGGTCTTCCGATACGTGATTACGTGTCATTATTCTTCTAAACTTCTCATTACATTCTGTGCATTCGCAATATGAGTCAATTTGCTTTCTAGCTCTTTCCTCTTTCCGTCGTTATCATCCTTCCATACCACCCGAGATTTGAGTAGTGTCGATACGAATTTGTCGCCCTTGCACCACATCAGCACGGGCACAAGGAAGTACTCTAATATCAATTCAGTCCAAGCTGAAAGAAAAGCCGGGAACGTAAGATCCCCTTGGGAAATATACTTATCTATCAATGCTTTGGCACGTTTCAGTACGCTTTCATCTGTACTCACTCTCGCTTGAAGAGATCTGACAGGAGGGTTGGCAGAAAAATCGGCACCCCAGAAAACCGTTGTATTGCAAGCGCGGGCTGGCAAGTCGAGAGAATGGGCTTCAGAACTTTGCTCGTGATAAACGCTGATGCCTTCTCCACCACACTGTGAGAGAGAACGTCGAATGATTCGCCGATTTTCTGCTTCCAATATATCATGAATTTGATCCGATCTATCCGACCAGAAGGCTTTTTGGTGATGTCTGGCATTCCTGGCGTATTCTCAAAGCAGTCCAGAAACTGTTCTGAACTGATAGACAATTCGGTCAATTTGGTTTGGAAGTGCGAAATTAGTACACGCTGCACGTCAGTGGCTATCTCACGTTTGATTGTTTCGGAATTGACCACTGCTCCCAGGGCCAATATATCTTTTTCCACGACGTTGTGATACGTTTTCAGCTTATCCAACTGATTCTGTAACCAATACTCTCTGGCAACAATGATCTAATACTTTTCTTTACTCGCACTGGGGTCGACATATCTACGTGAGTCAACACTCCAATAGCACGCATCTTTGGCCCTCGTACTTTGTTAGCCTCACGGATCTGTGTGAGCAATAAATTGGTTTGTAAGTAGTTGCGATTCTAAGTATTTTCAGAAAAAAATGATGATTCTGAGCGATGGCAGTGATTATTTGCAAAAGAAATACACTACTAGATATTTTAGAAATACGGCCATGCATATTTGTGGTTTTAGAGAAAATAGCTGCTTACCTCCGTCAGATGCGCAAGTTTGTCGTCATGGACAAGACACAGATTACCACTGCGTTGGGATCATTCATTTGATCCCTTGTCAATTTGCGAATGTTCTCTGCGATCGCGGGCGGGTCAGACACGATACCTGGTGTTGCGAGGGTGCGAAGTGGAACTCAATGGACAAAATGATGCGGTGTAGATGTATATAAAATTTAACACAGAACAGATATCATCGCGGTATCAGCATCTGAACGTTCTTTTGTTGAATAGAGCTGGGACATTAACTTTTCACGATTGTAGCCTTCTCCCCAGCGAGTTTGAGGTGTGCAGCACTACTATATACTGACTCAAAGTTTGAATAATTTACCTGACATATCATACAGATCCAAGGTTGAGACGCGGACAGATCTCATCTCTACCTGGAACTCGTGGTCCGTGTCGACATCCTAAATAATATATAGGACAAAACAATTTAGCTTGTGACCAAAAATCCAAGGCGTACATTATAAACACTTACATAAGCAATCCGAAATTCCTCGTCGGCGAAAAAGTTTACTGACCTGGACGTCGGTGTCATTCTCAGAGCGTGCAGTGAACTTATCGATATTTTTTACTGATTTGCTCCCTTATGAGATCTTCCGTTTCCTTGCGATAGTCGTCACCTATCAGCACACATGCCTCGAATTGATCGCCATTTTCGTCGGTAACAACTTGCCCCGATTTGCGATGCACAATTCGTATAATCACTTCCTCCTTCGCATCAGTGTGTCTGAGCACGAGTTTGGTCACCATATGTGTGGTGAAGCCCTCCCCGGTTGGGAAGATCTAGTACTCAGCAATTCGTTCAATTGTTGAGCTTTTGCCTACACTCTCGTCAACCACAACTACGATTTTCGGTAGCTGTAAAGTTGAATCATCGCCTAATTCAAGCTTGCTGAAGGCCCGAAGAATTTGGCCATAAACACCGTTAGTAAGAACTTCGGCTAATCCATTGTCATTGTTGATTGATGATACAAGCATCGCATCGTTAATCGTAGCAATCGTCATCTTGGAGCCCTCTTTTGTATATATTGCTTTAAGCAGAAATTAGAACTATAGGTATGTAACATTGCAATTGACGATTGGCACTTGTTAAATACTAATTCATAAAAACTCATGTACTTTAAATAAAAACCACTTTCATGAACATCCAAATGCAAATTATTATCAGTCTGCTCATCACCTGGTTGCCATTCTATAAACTTCTCAACACTGGTGTTTCATCACTCGTAGTCCCGTGTAAATTGTCACAAATTATAACAGACTACGAGGACTCAAGTAGAAAACAAAAATCTAGAACTATACAATTGGCACGCACTCGCTAATATTTCGACCCTCTGGTGTCTGCCGCTAATGACTGATCACTGGCGACAGACCTACAGTGGTTACCCGTTGCCGGTGACTACCCTGGGCCTGGGGACTGGGGAGGTGAGTCCGTGAGAATACTAGATTCGCGAAATTTATATATATATTTCAACATTCATGTTCGTGAGTTTTATTTCTATTTTTTTGGTCAACATTTATTGCAATAGAGGGTCTTAATCCGCGGTCCGATATATTTTTTTAATAAAAACATATTAGATTTTAGAATTCAGATCCGCATTCCTAGATCGACATCAAAATTCAGCTGTTTACAATGTTTTTATCTGTTATTTTTATATATATAAATACCATACATTTTATGAGACAAACAATAAAATTAAAAAAATTTAATCAAAACCCTAAAGTCTCTTTTTGGCTTCTTTTGGTTTGTTTTTTTATTGTTATTTTAAATGAAATAGTAATTATAAAACAAAAAACAAAACGAAGATAAATTTTTCTATACATGTAAAATAAATCTGCAAAACCAATTATAAAAAAATCGGTCCAAATAGATAGTACCGAACCGGAAATTAAAACCGACAGGACATCGAAGATCCAGATGTATCAGTAGTGCAGTCACTGTAACCGGTATCAGCCTTCACAAAAATTTGCGTCAGGGCGTCAGCGAGCATATAGTCGCAAAATACATCTCTGTTGAGCCGCGCAGTGTCTTCCCACAGTATAGAAGTAGGAAGAGACATAAGTAGAGCTAAGAGGATAGACAGGGTATTAATACTATGCGCTAGGGATGGTTGACGCTATGCGAATGCTTATTGTGACCAGAGCATATATATACCAGGCAACACGCAATAGTCCATACGAGTATACAACTAGAGGGCTCGGATGAACTACTAATGAGCCGATCGAACATATGTATTATGCGTGTCACTTTCTACATTTATATTATATATATATATATATATATTGATATTTATATATATATATATATAATTATAT